CGAGGAGTGGCTGGTGGGTTTGAACCACCAGCCTTCTGGTGAGCAGTCAAGTGCCTTAGGCACTATGCTACCAGAGCTCCCATATTTAGCACAGAGTAAATCTATGTTCATACGAACTACATGTGTAGTTGAAGTAGCAGTAATAGTTAAGTAGTAGTTAAGAAGCAGCTGATTCTGGAAGTTACTCAAACAATTCATGGGCTATTTTATTTATTACTCCAGACCCAGCAGTTTTCTCTTATTCTACTTTAAATTCAAAACTTTTAGTCCTTTTTAGATTAAAAAAAAAATGTTTTTTTCATGATAGATGTATTCTGAAAGTCATTATAACAGATCACTCAGCAGAAACAATTATCCAAATTACTTTCTTGAACATTTCATCCCATTAGACAGTGAACTGTTTCTTAAATATTTAACAGTAGAAACTGATAATTTCTCAAGTTCCATGCATTGTTCAGCTGCAGTGTCTTTGAAAGCTGTCACCATCTCACAAAGTCTGGGAGTGTGGTTCTTCTGCAGTGAGATGACACTCTGTCAGGTCATTCCAAGTAAATTGGTTTTTCATTTCTGTGGTTTGTCACCTTTCTTGGCTAGAGGGCTACTGCTGATAGCAAAGCTTTATTTTATTTCCTTAGAGCCCGTCAATATAAATTATTTGTGATTTTAATTCAAATCAGTTTAACTTAAATATGATATCAATTTAGTTTCCAAGTGCCACCAAGTGCCACTTTGCCACTAGAGCTGTAAACATATCAGCAAGTATTCATGCAGCCTTTTCCTGCCCAAGACAGCCAGCCTGGTGTCCTCACTGAGGTCTGTGTTCCTCCTTTCTGTTAAGTGGTTCTTTACATTTATTCTCCTCTCAGCCAGTGACTGTAATGGTCCATTTCTCATTTCTGGATGCCAGATTCACAATAAATTAACATGCAAAACAATCGGTGTGAGAGATCTGCCCTCAGCTCCTCAGGGGCAATTCCAGGAATTGCAAGGCAAGCATTTGGTTCTGGTTTAGAACTGCATATGGCAGAGGGCAAGCCTTGATGCAGTGGTCCTGTCTCATTGTTTTTATTTTGAAATACAGTTAATTGCCTTTTCCTGCTGTGCAAAGTCAACACAAAGCATGACTTCTTTACTTTGTCTCTCATGGGTCCGATAATTGCTTTATCTTGCTTTTTTTGTTTTGCTACTAGCAAGTTCAATCCAAAAGTTAATTGAAGTTGGTAGAGTTTTGCCAATAGTGATTTATTTTTGAAACTATAAAGATTTCTAAAGTCAGAGATCACCAGTAAAATTGAATAACTAGTTTTTACTTTAAATTTAAAAAAAATAATAAATAAATAATAATATAGACACACCAGATAAATCCACCTGAGAGAGAAATTTTCTTTTGAAAGTTTAATGTTCAAGAGTTCTGTGGATCATTTGTTTACTTTTGTATGTTAGCTTTATATAAATCTTATTTGTTGCTGTTGTTGTTGTTGTTGTTATTTGCCGTCGAGTCGGCCTTGACTCATAGCAACCCCTCCTTGGGTTTCCGAGGCAGTATCACTACGGAAGTAGGATTGCACAACCTTCCTTCCGAGGAAATCAATAAATTAATTAAATAAATTAAATAAATATTTAATTTAATAATATTTAAATAATAATATATAAATATTTAAATTTAATAATTAAATAAATTCTAAAATTACTTAAGTGAAACTGTTCAAATAAAGTTTGACTTTGTTTTGTAAGTGACAGGTAGAAAATATTAGTAAGTTGTTTATTTTCTTAAAAAAACAGAACTTGAAGACATTTCTAAAAAGACATTCTTTCCTATAGATTTCCTTTACAGCTAGAAAATGGTCAAGCTATGGAATGTACAGTTGCTCAATATTTTAAGCAAAAGTACAGCCTGCAGCTGAAATACCCACATCTTCCCTGTCTCCAAGTAGGACAAGAACAAAAACATACATACTTGCCGCTTGAGGTAAGCTCAGCTCATTTTTCCTTTTGCCAATTTGCCAAGCTTTTGAATGAGTTTCCCCCCTCGCCCAAAGTTTGTTCTAAACTAGCAGTGAAACTTCATACTAATTTCTAAAACATTTTGGGCATATAACTTCACTAAACCAAACCAAACCCACCATCATCAAGCCAGCTCCAACTCATGGCAACCCCCATTGGGTTTCCAAGATGGTAAATCTTTATGGAAGTAAATTGCTCCATCTTCCTTCTCTGAAGTGGCTGGTAGGTTTGAGCCTTAGGCACTGTGCCACCAGAGCTCCTTAGAACTTCACTATGTGACAGAATTTTCATTATATTAGAAATGGGACATGTAAGATACAGCTTGGCAAGGGCCTAAAATATAGAAGCCCTTTACACAAACTCTGTTTTCTCTTTGCCTCTTGGTAGGTCTGTAATATAGTGGCAGGACAGCGATGTATAAAGAAGCTCACAGACAATCAGACGTCCACAATGATCAAAGCAACAGCAAGATCTGCTCCTGACAGACAAGAAGAAATCAGCAGACTGGTCAGTAAGGCATGATCTTCGAGATCTGCTAGCTTTGAGATGGAAAAAAAAGAAAACTCCTGATGGGACGCAGTTACTCTTTGGTTTTTATATATGCAGGCTTTCCTGTTCTTTAGGTGAAGAGTAACAGCATGGTGGGTGGACCTGATCCATACCTTAAAGAATTTGGTATTGTTGTCCACAATGAAATGACAGAGCTCACAGGCAGGGTGCTCCCAGCACCAATGCTGCAATATGGAGGCCGGGTAAGTTTCTTATTTTATTAAGTGAACTTCTTCCATAATCAGTGAAAGCAGAATAATGCAGGAGTTTCCCACCATAACACACTGAATTTACCCTTAGTTTTGGTTATTATTACTTGTTTTGTATTAGCTACTACCGAAAAGAATTTTGTTTACCCCATGCCAACATTAAAATGCTCTTGGATGATAATGTGTTTCTTTCTTTCTTTTAAGAATAAAACAGTAGCCACACCGAACCAGGGTGTCTGGGACATGCGAGGAAAGCAGTTTTATGCTGGCATTGAAATTAAAGTGTGGGCAGTTGCTTGTTTTGCACCTCAGAAACAATGTAGAGAAGATTTACTGAAGTGAGTATCTTCCTACTGATATGAAATGTCATCTTTGATGTCAGTGTGCTGTGTACCCTGGAACTAAATCCCTGTCTCATTAGTGACACCATCTGGCAGTATGAGAAAGGCCTTGTACATTTCATATTTCAAGCTTGGGAATTACATTAAGAATCTGAGTCAGCTTCCTTACGTTTGAGCAGAAATGTGTGAGTAACAAGCTTGAAACAGCGCTGATTGGCAAATTCTTGAGTTCTTGGTGAAGCTTCTATAGCTCACCTCCTTTGACATTAATTGTATCTTTTCAGTTAAGATAAAAACTAGTTTATTTATAATCATTATAATTTACTAGTGAGGTTGTTTAACTGCTGGGTCACTGACTAAGAATATTGGTTGACATCTTAACAGATGCAGCTATCTGTATAAAGGAAGTTAGTGATAAAAGGGGAAAACTCAAGACAAAAAAAGGGGATAGGGATGAAAATTAACAAATCCTATAAAATACTGGCAAATGCACAAAAGAAACTATTCTGAAAGCTTTACACATAGTGGAGGTAACCCCTTAAGCCCAAAACTTAAACCTTCAAAATTAATTTTACTTTTTTTGTAAGTGATGATTTATTTTTTTCAATGATGTCTACATATATATTATTCAATGATACTGATTACATTCTTCAAGTTATATAACCATTCTCACTATCCTCCTTTAAATTGTTCTACCACTATTAGGATACACTCAGTGATCCCTAAGCAAAACTTCCCTTCTCTACCTCCTCTCACCCATAACCACTAATAATTTTTGGTTTCTATATATTTGCTTATTTCATATAAGTGAAATCATACAAATTGCAGTATGGATCAATTTGAGGGGGTTAGGATATCATAGCTGTCCCAGGAGAAAACCAGAGATGGGATGTCCTGTCTTTTTGTGACTGATTTATTTCACTCACCATAGTATCTTCAAGGTTCATCCATGTAGTGGCATGCATCAAGACTTCATTTCTCTTCATGGCTGAGTAATATTCCATTATTTGTATAAACCCCATTTTGTTTATCCACTCATCTGCTCCTAGACATTTTGGTTGTTTCCACCTTTTGGCTATTGTGAGATGTGCTGCAGTGAACATTGGTGTACAGGTGTGATGATTGCTTCTGACATTTCTGTTGAACCAAACCTGCAGGTTTGAGTGTAACCTAAATACTCTCATTTTGTAACAGCATGTTTCTGTGTTGTCAGTTGAGATAGGCTTACCCAACTGCACTAGTATTTTTTGACCTTGCTTTTCTTTACTCCAGAATTACTAATTTGAAAGTTTTTGAATAGCAGTGCTATTCTAGTCCCTGAGGCTCAGCTGCAACATAATTATTTAAAAATTAAAAATGATAATTTGATAGCTTTCAGTAATGCAGATTCTTCTCTGGTATAATTGCAGTAATACAACTGCTAGTCTATTTTGGGAAGCCAGTTAAAGATTTTTTTTTTTTTTTTCAATTTTAGCTAAGAATCGACAAAACTGAGAGAAGTAGCTTAGTAGGAAATTAATAGCTAAAGCCCTAAAATATACTCTATAATGAAAGTCCTATGCCAATGGTTCTATTTTAACAGGAGTTTCACTGACCAGCTACGTAAAATCTCAAAGGATGCAGGAATGCCCATCCAGGGTCAACCGTGTTTCTGCAAGTATGCACAAGGTGCAGACAGCGTTGAGCCCATGTTTAAGCATCTGAAAATGACATATGTGGGCCTGCAGCTAATAGTAGTTATCTTGCCTGGGAAGACACCAGTATATGGTATGGACTCTGTTTAATGATGAATGAAAGATAGTAGGTATAACAAATAGTACATGCAATAGTCAGGATAATAAACTAGGTTATAATAAATAGCCCCAAACTTTATGTGGCTCAAAGCAACAAAAGTTGAGTTTTCATTCCTCTCTGTGTCATTTGGGAATAAATGGGGCTCTGCTCCATATCGTCATGTCATTCTCACTGCTGGACTCATTGGCAGAGCAGCTGCTGTTTGGAATATTGTTGGTCCCATGCCAGAGGGAAAGGAGCACTCTGGAGGGTCTTAACATCTGCAACAGCTTGTCTACAACCAGCCGTGTGGCCCTTCCCATCCTGGGTAGGAGAGTGAGGATGAAGGTCAGGAAATGCAATGCAGTCCCACCGTAGGTGCAGGGCAGGGCAAACTGGACATGTTTGGTGAAAAGTACTTAGGACTATTAGAGTGGGGAAGAGTAACAGAGCCTGGTACTTCCAGAAAAGGATCTGTTTGGTTTGTATCTATTATAAGAATGATACAGAGTTCTTGTGGCCATCAGCTAAGTAAAGGATTTAAGAACTACAGACCAGAAGCTAGAACTTCATAAAATGTCTTCAACCCGCCTACATTTGCTTCTTTTGTGATCTTCTGTTTATCCCTAGTGTCTAGAGGGGAAAAATATTTTGAAATTCAAAGAGTGGTGTGTCTACTAAGAAGGAGGGGCTGAGGAGACTGGTTTCTTTGCCAGAGCAGTCATGTGGGAAAAGGAACCTCAAGGGATCCGGCAAGTGGTGGCAGGCAGTACTGAAGAATAAAGGAAATAGTCTGGCTTCTAGGCCTGCAGGAGGGAAGAAAAGAAGAGGGAAGAGGGCCTATCCAAACTGGAAAAATAAATTGCCTTGAGGGTTTAGTAGATTAAAGGGCTGACAAAAGAGAAGCATCTAGCACAGTATACAGTATATAGTAGGCATTCTATAAAGTTAATGTGTGGTTTTTTTTTTTTTTTTTTCCCCTTTACCGTTAATTTGGAAAATACTTAAACATTTTTAAATCAATTAATTTTTGTAGCGGAGGTGAAACGTGTTGGAGATACCCTGCTGGGCATGGCCACACAGTGTGTCCAAGTGAAAAATGTAGTGAAGACCTCACCTCAAACCCTTTCCAATCTTTGCCTGAAGATAAATGCAAAGCTTGGAGGAATTAACAATGTGCTTGTACCTCATCAAAGGTAAGAGTCTTAACTCTGTTTTCTTAAGATCTAACATATTTAGGTACCAAATACGTTTTCTGGTTCAGTGGTAGAATGCTTTCCTTCTGTACAGGAGACCCAGGTTCAATTTCTTAGCCAATGCGTCTCAAGTGCAGCCACCACCTGTCTGTCAGTGGAGGCTTGTGTGAATCTTCCAGACCAAGACAGACTAGGAAGAAAGTCTGGTAATCTACTTCCAAAAACATAAGCCAATGAAAACCCTGTGCATCATAATATTCTGGTGCAGTTGCGCATGGGGTCACTGTGAATCAGGGCCAACTCAACAGCTGCTAAAACAACCATTTACATAATTTACAGTAAAGCACACAAATCTCAAGGGTACATTTCAATTACTTTTTCTTAAATATATATACATCTATGTAACCAACCATGTCAGCTGCCGGGATCCAGGGGAGGAGAGAGAACCCAGGCACGCACAAAGGCAGCAGGGTAGGAGAGCGGGAGAAAGGGGATTAAAAGGTCCTGGAACTGAGACAGAGGAGCAGTCAGCCGCAGGGATTCAGGTGAAGAGGGGGAACCCAGGCATGCCCAAAGCAGCAGGGCGGGTGAGTGGGAGAAAGGGGATTAAAAGGCTTAGGAACCAGGACAGAGGAGCAGTAAGCTGCAGGGATCCAGGTGAGGAGAAGGAACCCAGGCATGCCAGAAGCAGCAGGGCAGGAGAGCGGGAGAAAGGGGATTAAAAGGCCCAGGAACCAGAACAGAGGAGCAGTCAGCCGCAGGGATCCAGGTGAGGAGGGGGAACCCAGGCACATCCAAAGCAGCAGGTTGGGAGAGCAGGAGAAAGGGGATTAAAAGACCCAGGAACCGGAACAGAGGAGGAGTCAGCCACAGGGACCAAGGTAAGGGTGGTAGGAGAGGTTTCCAACGGGAGACAAACTTGTCTGTTGGTTTGTCCT